AGCTACTCTACCACTACCCTCTATTCCCAGACAGTGTGAATGGAACATTGGAGTAGGTCCCCCAACTCTAGCAGAAGTTCAAAAGGCTATAGTTAATCTGAAACGAGGAAGGGCAGCTGGTCCAGATGGATTGGCTCCAGAGGTCTTTAAGGATGGCGGTCCAATTCTAGCGATTAGGTTGACTAATATTTTAGCTAAGATCTGGGAGTCAGACGTTATCCCATCTGACTGGTCGCAATCACTAATCGTCCCATTATATAAGAAAGGGTCAAAATCATCCTGTGACAACCACAGAGGGATTTGTTTAACAAATATAGTATCTAAAGTACTAGTCTCGATAATTATCAGACGCCTAACTAAGACTCGTGAACTGCAAACACGAGAGAACCAAGCTGGCTTCAGACCTGGTCGTGGCTGCATCGATCACATATTCACCATTCGTCAGGTTCTAGAACACAGGCATACTTATCGGCGTCCGACAATGGTGGTCTTTCTTGACTTAAAAGCAGCATTTGACTCTGTAGACCGCGAGATTCTGTGGCAGTGTCTGTCATTGAAAGGCGTACCCCAGAAGTACATAAACCTTATAAAGGCTCTTTACTCGAACGCTACTAGTCGAGTCGGAGCTTATGGCGAACTGTCATCTACTTTTGCAACCTCAAGTGGTGTCCGTCAAGGCTGTCCACTTTCCCCATTTTTGTTTAACTTCATCATAGATCTACTGATGGAAATAACTTTCTCGTCGACTGAGTTCTCGGGTATTGATCTCCTACCAGGAGGTCCACTTATCGACTTAGAATACGCAGATGACATAGTCCTATTTGGTGAAGACGCTGACAAAATGCAGAGTCTTCTGGTAGCACTGAGCAACAATGCCAGGATGTTTGGGATGCGCTTCTCTCCCTCTAAATGCAAGTTGTTGCTCCAGGACTGGTCTCCGTCAACACCTGAACTAAGGATAGGGAGTGAAGTAGTTGAACGCGTTGACAACTTCACTTATCTTGGAAGTCTGATCAGCCCTAATGGGTTGGTATCGGACGAAATCTCAGCACGGATTCGAAAAGCTCGTTTGGCTTTTGCCAACTTACGTCACCTTTGGCGAAGGCGAGATATCGTCTATCAATAAAAGGACGAGTATACTGCGCGGCAGTCCGTTCTGTTTTAATTTACGGCAGCGAAACATGGCCATTAAGAGTAGAAGACACCCGTAAGCTACTAGTATTTGATCACTGATTCCTTAGAAATATTGCTGGCATCTGCTGGGATCACCGGGTAAGTAATGGTGAGGTTAAACGCAGGGTATTAGGGAATGATGGTAAATCTGTTGATGAGGTTGTTAATCTTCGTCGTCTGAAATGGTTGGGCCACGTGTTACGTATGCCTGAACACCGATTACCACGACGTGCAATGCTAACCGGTGTTGGGGATGGTTGGAAGAAAGTAAGGGGCGGCCAAACCAAAACGTGGCATCAGTGCTTGAAGTCACTAACTTCTAGTCTGAGCCATGTTGGTAGATGCAGACTACTTGGTTGGGGTCCGCGTGACTTTCGTAACCAATGGCTGGAGACTCTTGGTGACATGGCTCAGAATCGATCACAATGGCGTCGGTGTATACACTCCATGTCTTCCCTTAAACTAAGAGATTAAAATCACTTCATATCTTTCTTTCTACGAACTAATTCTTTCTTCCTATACTATATCTCTATATGCAATCTTTCTCCTATATATTACCACCTTTGACCTAAGCACTCCTATGAATCCGGTGTTCATCTTGCTGTGCTAATGCGGTATGGCAACCTGGACCGATGCACATATGTGCCTGTTCCTACGTTGTAGCTGACTGACTGCGGTGAGTCACTTACAATGAACGATCATACCAAAACAATACTTGTGTGCGTGGTGTACCCCGTACTATAATATATTAATAATAAATCATGAAAAATACTTCAATAATGCCGCCCATCTACTACTCAGTCAAAGGTTTCTCTGGTACAAAATAACGTACATATCAGCAAAATGTGATTATCAAATACAACTATTAAGTAACTGGGAATCCGTGTGAATATTCCCAATAGAGTGGGATTAAAGTTCTGTCCGTGATATTCAAGCCAAACAGTAGACGACTTTAGCATACAGTCATAGAACACCAACAAGTAGCCGCTCCATGCCACAACCCAGAGTTCAGTCAAACGCGACTTTATTGTCATCGGTACTGCAATACGCGAGAACAAAATGAAATGATAGACAAATCTTAACCATAGTCCAAATAGTGAGAACATAGTCATAGAAGACTGAGAAATATTTAAATGTTGTTCCATAAGTCCTCGATAAAAGTTACTATGCAAAACAGGCATAGAAATTTACGAAATAAAAATATTGTTAAATAACGATTTCCAGAGGGATTTTCAGGGCCTTCATTCTGTTATACTGTGTACAAACATGTCATAGAGCGACAAGGACTGGGCGAAAGCAACAGAAATGATGAGACTCATTGATCTGTGGGCTTTCCACGACGTGATCATAGGCTGTACTATTCTCCCCGCAAATGAATACACAAAGGTGCTTGCGTTCCACCGTGATAAAATAAGGAACACCTGATCGATATCAGTATGAGGAAAAAATCCAGAAAGCCCTTCGGAGACGAAAGGACAGAGCTAAACAAGTGCCGGACATTTGGTCAAGTAATACTATGAAATTTTAATGCAGCGTTTCTTCAAAATGCTAATCATGGTAACCACAAAAACGAGCAACTGGAAACGGGTTGACGAGGCACCAAATTTAGCATACTAAAAACTTTCGAGGTTCAGGAGGCACTAGAATAAAAAATGGATCTATGTAAACCATCTGGACCTGGAACCTTCATCAAGAAAAAATGCAAGGGAGGAAATACGAGACAACTTGATGATACGACCGATGAGCTAGCAAGAAAATATAGTGGACCAGAGCGAACAGTAAGGAACAATGGAAGTAAACCAGTCACTAAGGCTTGGGAGCGGAAGAACGGGTGGGTAGAACACAATGAAAAGCTCTTAATAGACCAGAGCCCATGTACCCACCGGACACCGAAGCAGTACACCTGTAGACAGAACCACGCCAACAATAGAGGAAATTACCAAGGCCATCAGACAAATCGAGAACAACAAAACAGGAGGAACAGACAGCACAGCAGCTGAGGAGCACAAGTCAGATATGGAAATCAAAAGATGCTCTACGTCCCATCATATTTAACCCATACGAGGCTTGATCCCGAAGTCGTGCACTAACGAAAGCCCACAGACGCATTTCAAGTGGAGACAGGTATATAAAATCTCCGCCTAATTTCCCCGTTACTTCTTCTTTTGGTTGTTGACTAGACTGTGAAGACCTCCATCATTCAAGGAAACGAAGTGGACACCTTAAACACAGATTGATGAGTTTATCTCGCAGATGACTCAGCCCATCCAGCACACACAGAAACAAATGCAGACGGAGACAGTCCGTGTAGCAGAGCTAATACGGAAATGCGCTTCAACAGCTGGTGCCACACAAATCATACTTTGAGGTAGTTCTGGGAAAGGCGGAAACCTTTACGTACTTGAGTAGCATCAGTAGTAAATAAAGGATACCCAGTGAATATGTTAAGGGCACGGATTGGAAAAGCAAAGGCAACACTCCTACAACTGAACTTCTGGTGCTATACACCACTTCCACCCAAGATAAAAGTCATCATTGTTAGTACTAACGTCAAAACAGTTCTATTGTATGGAGTTGAAGCTTGGAGAACTACCACCACTATCACCGAAGTAAAGGTATTCATAAACAAATGTCTACTTAAAATACACCGGATGCATTGGTCTGAGACCATCAGTAATAAGGTACTTCGGCATAGAATGAACCAGCTACCACTTGAGGAGGAGTAAATCAAGAAAGGAAGCTTGAATTGGATAGGTCAGACTATGCGCAAACCATTAGGCCAAATCACAAGGCAAGACCCAACTTGGTGTCGTCAAAGTGGAGGGAAATGAAGCAGACTGAAGAGCATATGTCTGCGAGAATCGGGAAGAGACACTAGAACCATGAATACTATTTGGCGACAACTTGAAAGCAGAACCCAGAAGAGCTATTTCGACATCCCTGGTCGTAGGACTGTGCCTTATGGGGGGGGGGTTACAAACTTAAACAGTTAAGTAGTCCAAAATCCTAAATATGAACTCTTCTGGTCTCAGGTGGAAAATCCAATCTCTTAAAATTAAAAGTGTTATACTTGTGGAAGGTATTACTGACTCAAGTGTAACCTGTTAAGGGTTACTCGAGATAAGCAATACATTAGGATTTATAGCTGCATATACTTTTCAGACCTATTTAGCTATCTATTGTGTTATTTTATTCAAAGAGTAGTATTCTGGGATTAATGTAAACATTGGTTTTTTTAAAAACTTATTTACTAGGTACAGATTTGTGTATTTGGTTACAAGGAAAACTCTAATTGAAAGGCCTGATGATACCATTTATTTGCCCAAACCAATGTAGGTGAAGTAGGGACACAGTCTGTGACTGAGTGGCTAGAAGTAGAAAACCTCAACCACTGATCCCACTACTTCACTGAAAAATAGCAGCCTGTAAATGAAAAGAATTGAGGGTTAATCACAGAGACACTAGATTTATTATCAATTGGTTAATGAAAACGTTTCGAATAAAAAAGTAGTCAACAGTTAGCACTGTAATGAATTAGATTTAGATTCTCTCAAGGAATGAGGGAGTAGACAAAATAGTAAAAGAATGTAGGAAAACAAGATCATTTTTACAAACCAAATAATTAAACACAACGCTATATGTTTATTATAATTATTTTGATGATAAAATTTACTGAGGAAGTTGGCAGTTCCCATGATGAGTTACAATAATGACAAGAAGGGGAAGACAAATGTAATATTTCTTTTTTAAGTAATGGGCATAACCCAAAGAAATTCTTAGAAAAATTGAGAAAGGGGAACCTGTAATACAACAATGACAATGGTTAGCTAACTATATCTGTGAAAAACAAAGAGATACACCAGTAATATGAAGAGAACGACAAATAAAATTACATAACACATAAATTTCCGATTATTTGTACGCTTCTTTGGTATTCCAAGGACTCGATGAAGTGTATTTGACAAAAGATTACTAGCATTGTCGAACGAGCCCTGAATTTCATCAAGAAATTTATTTTGTGACTTGGATTCAGTTTCAATATCTTTGGCGTACTACAGAAAAAAATGTAAAAAAAACGAATACAGAAAACAGTGTGCAAATCGTCATATACATATTAATAAAAAGACTACATACTTATAATAATTATTCACCACTTATAACAAACAGATATTACAAGAGATAAAACGATTGCAGTCTACCATGCTATAGGTATAGTTTCTCTGACCATATATAGGGATTTAATATGTAGATTTTAGACGGTAAGTAATCAATAGTCAATTACAAATACGACTAATTATAATAGCTAGTGAAGTGAAATTAGTCGCTAAAACAAAACTAATTACTAACTAATCAACATCGAATCTATATGCTTTTACTACCGGCCCCGAAATCATGAATTTTTCTCAGCTTGAAAACTGTACGAGGTCAATCAACTTATTCACTTGTCCTACTTTTAAAACTTTTTAAACAAATGCTCATCTTTTTGTAACGTGAGACGAGAAGTTAACATTTCCAATTTATGGTATGGAGATTGACAATATAAATGAGGAAGTCAACATCGTTCAAAATTCACACTATTATGACGATCACCTAATGCTAAAGACAAACACTTTGATATTAGGTAACATCCAGTTAATGGATGGTGAGTAGGCTTTGCTCATTACACACAATGAACAATTCTTTAAAATAGGTTTACTCATAAGCCGCAGACTTGAACTTCACTGTAATTGTTTAGATTTGAGCTTCCGAATAGTATAACTAGCCCTCATATTGAGGGTGTAACTCAAACACGAATTCAGTACATGAGTAAAGGTTCAAAACTGATGATAGTAGCAAGTTTCGACAAAATGAAATGATGAATAAGTATAAAATAAACAAGGTCACAAAACACAATTTATTGATTATTCAGTGTACCAGAGAATAATTTTAAAATCTCAAGAATGAATAAAAAATGTAATAGGGAGTCGTAAACGTTAACAAGGAAGAAAAACATATTCATGAAGCGACCTTCCCTTACGATTTATTTATTGAAACAGATGTGCATTTATAGATTATTTAAAGTGCAATAGCTTTTATGTACCATACAAAATGATAACTACACACACTGAATTAACGGTGACTATATACCCCACAAACATGGACACTCTAGAGTAAACATATATGGGGTATCCTCATTATCCTTGTTACTATTATTTAATCTCAATTCCATCACATTGTGCTGCTGTTATAGAGACTTTGACGAATGTGCATCCGTGCCAAGCCATATGTTATGACTGATTAACTGAATAAAACTATTATTTGTACAAAAGTGACTAAAATTACTGATATAAAACCAGATATACAAGCTGATTGAGAATATACAAATTACATTTTGCATATTTAAGCATAAAAATAGGTAAATTCATTTAAATAAAAACATTTGGAAATGATTCACACAACTACTAAATATTAAGTGCACTTAAATGTGATATAAAGAATCAGGAAAGTATCCATAACTATTACAGCAGATGAATTCGTTTGAGTTAACAGCCTTTAAAATATTTCCTTTTCGTAATAAGACCACGAAAAGAATCTGCGTAGGGTTAAGCCTACTTGGACTTCTTTAAAAACCGAGTCAATGTGTTACTTTTAAAGTCAAACAATCCGTTTACGTAGAAAAATAGAGTGCTTTGTTTAGTTAGCCTACTATAATCAGCCAATATAGTGTAGTAAAAATGAGCGTTATCGTCAAACTGGTTAGTTGTTAAACAATGACTACTTATCCACATATCTATACGTAGGTGGACAGAAATTTTGTGATAAATACTTCCAAATGTGTTGTGATGCATATCGGTCATCAAGGTACAGATACATACACGATGAATAACACTGGGCTACCTGTCGTCTAGACATATAATGACTTAGGAGTCATCGTTAGCCAAAAATTCAACAAAAAACCAATGGTAATTTGAAAATAAATTTCGGTGCATGGAAGAGCTGGAGTTGTCATAAGAAGACACGAAAATACACAGCCCTTTAATAAAAAAGCTATAGTGTTATCGATAAAGCATCTAAAGTGAATTTTTATTAAAACCGTTTTGGTATATTGAAGTCAACTTCAGTACACGAAATTTCAGACCAATTCCAGGCATCTGAATCTCGCTTTTGTCAATCTTACACAAGATTTCGGGGCAAAATTACTTATAGATAAAAATCGCACAATATACGTGCTCTGTAAACACAAGTGAAATACATCATTTTCTGTTAAGTAAAGTTTATAACGGCCTAATAAATGTTGGAAAATTTCTATATACGTACTGCCTTAAGCAGAGAAACCTTGTGCGACATTTCTTCGGCCCTACGGTTGTTGTCTTGTTCTAAGAGAGAATGTGAAGCATCCATTGTCATCAATGTTTTAGTCTCCCTCGAGCAGATAGAGTGATACTGATTTTGTTTGATTCAGTGGTTTTACTGTCCAGAACTTCGATGTTTATTGATATAAGAAAATCTATATACATGCAGGATATTTGCTTTCAACATATAATGTATTTTCTGAAGATAAGAAATAGGTAAATCCTGTAGGAGGGTTTACGTTGTGGATAAGCCCTGAACAAGTTAAACTATCCGCGCAGCCTTTATTGCAATGATCAATATATTTGTGAACAATAAATAAATAAATAAAATCCCATGCACCCGTCTCTTGACGTTACAGAACAGTTTAAGATCTTTATTATAGTTCAATGTAGATAGTCTAACCACTTACTTGCAATAATCCTGGTGAATTTGTTTGCTATTTCTTGTAAAAATGGGTGCATTTTTTTAATCATCCGTAGGTTCGATACCGCAAGAAGCCGATGATGTATTAGTTTTTTACCGTACAAAAGGTTGCAAAATTGAAACACGGAGAACTAGTAAGATGATTACGGTTGCATTTTTCCATTTATGATATCAATCTCTGGAAAATTCACGCGCTCTATTTAAAAGGACAGTGGTATTGTTTCTCGTTGAGTTAATTAACTGTTTTGATCATAAATTACGCATAAAAACTACTGTTTACACTTTAATTGCATCTACTTCAGTTAAAGTGATATTGTATTGAGTGTTTCGATTTTGCTTTTGCGTATTTATTGCATCGAAGCATACTTGGTCAACTTTTACTTGATTCATTTAGTTAAGATTTGAGAATCCTTTTACATATCCTGTTTTTGTCACCGTTCTAGTTGATTTTCAAGATGGATAGATCTGCTCATAAATGTGGACGACCATATTGCTCATTTCCCGTGGAGGAAGGGATGCAATGTGATAAGTGTAATAAGTGGTTCCATAGATGTGCACCCGATTAAGCCCCACTGCATATAAAAAGTGCTCAAAGCCCAACTCTCATTGGCTTTGTAGTTTTTGTTGCTTGAGCAAAAGATTACTTATCCAGAAAGCAATTAGTCTCCTGGTGTTGGCTAATAAGAAGGTTGGTGAGGGCTGTACTAGCAACATTGGTACTGATGGCGAAGATTGCGTTAGTGTCGTGAGTACTGTCACGGCGCAAGCCAGACATCTAACTGTGCAACCCGCTATTAAACCGTCTACTCCGAAACAGTCAATGAGTGTGTATCGGTAAATAAATCCCCAAAATAAATAGCTCTGTAAGTTTTCGACATTGGATGCTGACCACATGTTTTAGTGGACTCATCTAGCTGAAGGCGCTCGGTCATGCATCCGCATCAGATCACGTGTGGTAACGCCGTGCTCAACATCTACCGCAATCGCTAGCCAGATTAGATCAGAGAATTCCGATATATTGGTAATCGCCGAATACACTCTTCCGATCTCCTCGACTCTGTCTTTTGATTTCTCTGGGTTGGAACGAATTATATTAGGTGTTACTGGTAAAAGCATTGTCAAACACTGAATACCTGTGAAATCATCAAGTGACACCTCATTAGATATTGGTGGACATGTTGCTACAGCAGCAACCGGTGACCCAAATAAAACAATTACTGTCCCGAGTGGTTCTAATGTGGATGCTACGACTGATGGAATATGGATGACACGGAAACTCAGAAGAGTAGGAAAGACAGCTAAAACTAATGACCGTTTACTTGATAAGTCCCTGGTGGACTCTCAGACCACTCCGCCAAAGTCCCATGGTAAAGCGTCGTCTAACATTGTTGTGAGTCACTAGCTCGACTCCCAGGACTCTGTTACAATAAAAACTAATCGTAAGATACCAGTAGTTAAAATACAGGGTCTAACGTCACGGTCGAAAGCTGTGAACACAGTTTCAAAAGAAGCTAAACCCCTCCCTAGTTTAATTATTTGGAATCTAGAGGAGTCGAAATAAACGACCCTGCTAGAAGACATGAACATGACCTGCATTTAGTGGAGTCTGTGGTAAGGAATGTAAGGAATGTCTCCCCGCACGCTTTTTGAACGGGAAGTTTAGTCCTAACGTGGTTTGCATTTATCAAACTTTCGCTGTATTCTTACGCAACAAAAGTACCATTTCTGTCCAAAAGAATCTATCCTGAGCTAAACGTTCGGTAGATTACTTTTTTTGAGTCTCACCCAATTTAATAGTTAACTGTGGTTTTGCCTCAGCTTACTATTCGGTCTTTTTTTCACTTTTTCACGTAAAGACTAGTTCAGTTTATCTCATCCGTTTTATCCATTTTTGTCCGTTTTCAGTGTGTTTTTTAGTGTATTTTTTACAGTCTTAGGCTTTTGCTAGCATCTACAACACAGTTTACGTCAATACAGTCATGAAAAATTCATGCAAACGACATGGATGCCTTTTTGCTGTTACATCTGGCATGCAGTGCGACAACTGCAAAGGTTGGTTCCACGAAGCGTGCACAGATCTCACAGCAACTGCTTACAACAGACTCAGCAAGTCGGATCATAAGTGAGAATGTGTTACGTTCAGCACGGATGCTGTAGTCTTGTTAAGTAATATCATTGTCCTACTGACAGGTCTGCAGAGTAAGTTGTCTGCAAACTTGGGAAAAGACAGTCAAAAAATGGGTAGACAAACAAGAAAGCGCATTGAAAACGAGAACAGGAGTGTCGACAGGTCTACCAACGACGGAGCATGCAACAGCATTAATGATGACACGCTGAAAGTTAGCACCATGATTACGACGACAGTACTCGACTCCATCGGCAAACTTGGGTCTCACAGCTCAAGGTCCTTGAACGCGACAGTGGTTCCCAAAAACTCTGTAGGTGATTGGACCCATGTCAAAAGAGTTAAAAAGGGCCAGGCGTCACAGTCTAAGTTGAACATCCCAGCTGTTGGACGGAAGTCAGCTAGTGATCTGGTCGCACAGTCTACCCTCAAGATTGTCCGTCCTGTCATCAAAGAGCCAAGGATTCATAAACGTGTTTCGACCCCCAAACAACAAGGTGCTAAACCTGAACGCACCGGAAGTTCTGGGACGACAATAACGGTTCGTGATAACTCTCTCATAGTCATGAACTTCAAAGACAACCCTGACCTTCCTCTCAGTTTGCAGGACAAAAATGATAGGATGCTCTGGGAGAATTGAACAAGAAACTTGGACTTCCAAGAATAGAGCCTTTGACAGTCACACGGCTCACTCGGGGAAAGGATTCTAAGCATCTAAATCACCCGAGGCTTCTCCGAGTAACACTTAAGAATGCTACCGACGTAGAGGACGTCTTGCTAGCAAGTCACTTGCTGAAATCAGATGGTAACGTAAGAATATTGCCCGACATACCGTATTCTGAGCGCAATCTCATCCGGAACATCCCCAAAGAAACTCGCGATCGGTTTTTCCGCGGGAGGAATATAACCGTGCAAGGTATACCGGAAAATACGGACCCTACTCAATCAAAGACTGACATCAGGGAATGGAAATTCATCAAACAGTCCTTGAGGCTCAAAAACATACTGACTCAGCATGTGACGAGACTAGCCAAGAAGGATAGTGATTCTAGACCCTGTCTAATGAAGATAACCTTCCCATCTTTCCTTATGGCGGCTGAAACTCTGGAAGCATTTCGTGCCAACAGACGTCGACTGCCACCTGGAATCCACATGCACCCGGATAGGCCATACGAAGCTAGGACCAAATACAAAGGCAAGTTGGAGCTGATCATTCCACTTGTGAACTGTCTAGACGATAAAAAAGACGTGTAAAGAACAAGGCCTACCACCTCGTCAAACCTCATATAGGTGGGCTACCTGTCCATTCACGTAAGCCTCATACAGACAAACAGGAAGAAGCTCACGCGTTTCAAATTGAAAGCATAAACTGCTTATATATGAACGCCGCGAGCCTACCAAACAAATTGGATGAACTACGTGAACTTAACAATGCTAATAAGGCCCATCTGATAGGAATATTTGAAACCTGGATATCTTCTCAGTTCTCGGACCGTGAGTTAGCATTACCTGGGACGTCTTTGTTCCGCAATGACAGAAAATCAGGATTTGAGGGTGGAGTAGCTGTTTACATACGTTCTTGCTTGGAGGTGCATCAAGTTCATAACCTCGAGTTTAATAATCTTGGGGAATCTATATGGTGCTCTGTAAGATTGTCAAGTACTTCGAGGTGTCTAGTCGGAGTCATTTACAGGAAGCCAACTGCCGACATCGAGTACGATAGTCGTATGCTGGAAGGACTATCCCGTTCTACTCGTCTCGGTTTCACACACATCCTGATTCTAGGGGACTTTAATCTCCCTAAAGTCAACTTCGTGGATCACACGTATACTGGAGGCGACAACTCAATTGAAGCTCGGTTTTTCAACCTCATCGATGACTTGATATTGTTCGAAAATGTGAGGTCGGCAACTCGTTGGAGAAACAGTCAGACACCATCGCGCTCAGATTGTGTGTTCACAAACGAAGAATTTTTAGTTGACAACCTCTCAATCCTGGCTCCCCTGGGAAAAAGCGATCATGCCGTCATAGCCTTCAGTTTTGTCAGCAAAACTAGGCTGAGATACCCCACCAATAACTCGCGTTGGAATTTTAAACGGTTAAATGTGCCAGCTCTACACGACTATCTACAACAGGTGGTTTGGGATGTTCACCCCCAATTCGACGAGGACAGTCATTGGGACTTCTTACTGCACACGCTCTTACGTGCTACAAACCATTCAGTTCCTCAAACGGTTCCCAAAAGCTGCAAGCCACCTACAATATTAAAGAACCGTACCCTTTGTAAGACCCAAACTACATTTGGACTGCTGGACAGATGCCTGGATGAGTTAGATACGCGCCCTCGCCCGTTTGAAACCACTCAGCTATCCAACCAATAATTGTTCAATTGATCAAATCTAAACAATCACCACAAATAAATGTTATTCTATCCTGTTTGGATAGATCACGTACAGATTCGTTCAAAAGGTAATAATTGGTCGCTCTATAACACAGAGTATTTTCA